CGGCGCGGCGGGGCTATAAAAGCTGAGCGAGCTGCACAGGAGCTATAGTCGTGTGGTGGAGGTCAGGAGTTGGGCGGGTTGTGCTGTGCTCATCTAAGCCTGAGGTGAGCGAGTCCCTTCAGTTTCCTTGTTGGCAGGTGAAACCGGTGGGCAGTTTCTCACGAGCCCGGGCCCCCTACCTTTTTCTGGTGTCTCCTTGCCTCGTGAAAGGTTTACCTTGCTTCATGCTCATCTCTGAGGTGTGTGGATTCAGCTAGCAGGAGAAGAACATGAAAAGCTTCCTGCCAGGCTGAAGTATTAGGATGAAGGAGTACTCTCTAGTGGGGTTGAGATGTTAGGTTTGGTCAAGTCAGCTGCTCTGTGAAACCTTGCTTGGTAATTGAACCATAAAACAGTAATAAAAATAATGCAGATATGACTTCTCTGTATTGCTAACTGTGATGCTTGTTTTATAGACAAGTATGAAGGCAGAGCGCCTGCCCCCCCAAAAATTGTGATTGTGTATTTAAATAATATCTCAGGAGCAATAACATGGGTGGTACAAAAAGCAAAGCTGATACAATGTTCACTGAATTTGGATGTTTCTTGTGTCATCAGTTGGCTTTACGGCAGAGTTAAGTTTTATGTGTCTTAGGAGACATTCCTTTGATTTATTTAGAAGTCCTGTTATATCTGGCATAGGCCATCTACCTTCATTTCGCATTTCCTCTTATCTGTTGCATCTTGAAACAGCCTTACCCTAATTATCAGTGAAATAAGTTAAACAAGTAACATTCTTCTAACTTTTTTTGTGTGTGTGCGCGTGTGTGTGTCTTCTCAGTTCCCTCCCAAGCAACTCCTTGGTGAGAGGAGGTTTTCAGGAAGCAATTGGCTGGTTCAACCCTGTTTCATATGTACTCTTTCCTCATATATACTCTCTTATTTCCATTGTTTAAAGCTGATTAAACTGTTTTTATCACAAATGGATTTTTAGGCATATAATACATTTAATTGATATTTTGCAACTTCTCAGAGGGAAGTTGGGAAGTCAGAAGGAAAACCATCAGGATTATTCCAGCTAATTGCAACATCCAGAATTTGGATCTTCATCATTTCATGAGAAATGATGTCCAAAACTAGCCTTAGCTACTTGAAGCTATCATTACCTTCAGTGAGAAACTGCCTTACAGCTCAAATACTTCCATGAAGGAGCTTCTTTATATGATCAATATACCTATTTTTTATCATTTTACATCTTCTATTTAAAATTCTTTGCTTTGGCCTTATATTTGTTTGTGTGTCTCTTACCAAAAAAAAACAAAAAAAAAAAACAAAAAAAACCCCACCAACTTCCATATTTCTCTTTTTCTTTCCTTTCCTTTTTAAGAGATTTGGTTGAAAATTACAGCCTTGGTCATGAAAGTCGAAAGAATGCTTGCTTATCTGGGGTTTACAGCAGCTGTGACTGATGCACAATCCCAACTTACAGTTTACAGCTCAAATATCACTGTGAAGGAACTTCTTTGTGATCAATATACCTAATTTTTATCATTATGCATGTAAATTAATATACATGCATTAATATACAAGACTTGTATACAGAGCTAAGAGGAGACTGAAAACATTACAGGTTACTTGAACTGTATGATTTGTGTTGCATTAATACATCACTATGTCTATAAGATGATTGATAAAATCTATTAGCCAGGGCCTTACCAATAAAAAGCCATGGTAAATATCTTTTAAGTTACTGTAATAGTTAACTTGCCAATACATGTGAACTTTTAACATGTGAAATGTCAGTCATTAGTATTTTATCTTCCCACTTGGCTGAAAACATTATATTCAGTAAGATGTACTACTCACTGTTTAATTTTATTTTTTGACTTGCAAAACAAGGTGCTGTTTACATCTTCTGTAATATATCATTCATGAGGGCCAAGGCTTAAAAGAAGTTACAGTCTAGTTTCAGTTAAACAGTGGAAAAAAAAGCTGCCTTTGGCTGGATCTATAAAGACTGGACAAAGCAGCCATGAAGGGTTGGGTAGAAGGAAGGGTAGGACTGAATAAAGCTTTTATTAGTCATTCAAAGTCCTCCTTTTTTTTTGTCTCCTTCAAAAATTATTTTAAAAACTCTGCCTTGATCCAAAACTCTCTTTTCCTGGTTTTAAACCTGTGAATCAGGGGCAGCAAGGAACAGTAATCTAAGTCACAGTCCTAATCATAAGTGTTCAGATTTTAATTGCATATATTTCACATATAGTACAGACTTATCAGTTTCATATTTATAAGATAGAAGAATAGAAAGATATAAACTACTTACACAAATCTATTAAATATTTTAGTACACTAATATATGGTCGTTTTTTATCTAGAGCTTTCTCTACCCAGTTTCTAACACAATGCAGAGCTATTGGTCAGAACTTCTCCCTGTGCAAGTACTGAAAAGGATTGCAATGGAGTGTTTATTATTACATGTTTCTTTTTCTTAATATGATACAATACAATAATTCACAGTCCAGATTAGAAGATGTATAACATAATGGTCTGAATTACTTGCAATTAGAAATGTCTTTCAATGTTGGATGTTGGGAAAATAGTTTTTAGGTATGGTTGATACTGC